AGAAAATACAGGTAGTCCTCGACTTACAAGTTTGTTTAGTGACCGTTCAAAGTTACAATGGCACTGAAAAATGTGACTTATGACTGTTTTTCATAGTTATGACCTTTGCAGCATCCCCATGATCAAAATTCAGGTGCTTGGCAACTGGTTCATATTTTTGGTGAATATTTTTGGTCCTTTAGTGCATCCCAGGATCATATGATCCCCTTTTGCAACCTGACAAGCAAAATCAATGTGGAAGCCAGATTCACTTAACAACGGGGTTACTAACTTATCAGCTGCAGTGATTCATTTAACAACTGTGGCAAGAAAAGTTGTAAAATGGGGCAAAACTCACTTAACTAATGTCGCACTTAACAACATATATTTTGGGCTCAATTGTGGTCATAAATCGAGGATTACCTGTATCTACATTTGTAGCTGACCGGAAATCCCTTAAGAGACTTTTTGCATAAAATGGAAAGAAATGCACTTATGAATTGTGGTTTTTATGATTAGAAAATACTGGATAATAGAAAATGAGCTTTCTTTTGTAATCATAGAGTAAGAGATAATTTTGTAATTATACTTAAATTTTCTGCAAAGGAATAGGAAGCTTGTTCTTTCTATTTCTTTGTCTTTATTCTTTCTGTACTTTTGTCTTTTTACTTTCTTTTTTTGGTAGTTTGTGAGGGTTTTTTTTGCAAAAGAATGTAGTAAGCTCCCAGGAATCCATTTACTAATTATCCTTGTCAGTCCTACACTGAGATCTTTCTAAGCCATTCCAAGATTACAGACACTGGAAGATTCAGATCCAGAAGCCTAAGAAATTCATGAATTACAATGTATATTCAAAAATCTCCATAGATCCATAGGATTTCAAAAATCTACATAGTATTTTATGTATACCTTCAAATTTCTTGGAATGGATCTTTCTGTGGTCTTAAAAAAGTTTTGTTATATAGAAATAAAGGAAAGAAAATACAATAAAAAGGGAAAATATAAAGAAAGTAGAAGTATATTACAATGCATAGAGAAAACAGATAGGTTTTTAACTTTGCATTAAACTTTGATCACACAGAGTATTATTTGGCCAGACTTTCCATTACCTACATACCAAGCCAGTTAAAAAGCAGAGAACAAATACATAACATGAATCCATGATTGTAACTTGGGAGTAAAACTGTCTCCCCTCAATCTTTATTGCTATACTTCATGCTTAATAAAGTCAACGTTCTTCATATATTGATAAGTTAGTTACACATTTTTGGTCTATGATCCAACATTACATGGACATATTTCAATCTTGTTATTCTTTCCATATCCTAGATAACTTGACATAACACAAACTTATTTCCCAAATCATAAAGTATAAAAGGCATACATTTCTGAAGTAGATTTATAGATAAATCATATTCCCCACACTTGAAGAGTTTTAAAAAATATATCTTCTGTCATTTGCTGTAGATCTGCCTATGTGAAATAAGAATTTATGACCCTGAGATTCCTTAGTTTAGGATTCCTCCTTCCTCCAAATTCACTAAATCTTAGAGTCAGATTTGGAATAAGGAAGGCAGATTGCTCTTTCTCAAGTTACCCTTCAGTGCTTTTCAAGGAAGCTTTTGTTTTGTTTTGTTTTGTTTTGCTTTGCTTCATTGGCCAATGCTTATTCTAGAAGATTTTATGTATATGATTCAAATAGTTTGGAAAGATTCCCATTGACATGAAATTGTCCAGGCAGTGTTTCTTCTTTCGTAACAAGCCAAACTGGGATTGATTCCTTAGTTTTAACAGCTGTTTTGATTGGTTATTCCCTCGTAAACGGCCGCACACATTCCATGAAGATTCTAGATGTTGTGGTATTAAAAGTTTTTGGCTGAGAGCTGAGCAATGCAGATCTGATTCTTTTGATGCTTTTTTAACCTGACTGATCAAATTCCGATCTTCAACACACACACTCACACTATTTGGAGAGCAACCAGTAGGAATGACTTTGTGAAAAGATTGCACAGAGCTTTAAAAGTGTTTTACTTCCATGAAAATATATACAGGTAGTCCTCGACTTATGCCCACAATTGAGCCCAAATTTTCTGTTGTGAATTTTGCCCCGTGATACAACCTTGCTTGTCTCAGTTATTAAGTGAATCACTGAAGCTGATAAGTGAGTAACCCGGTTGTTAAGTGAATCTGGCTTCCCCATTGACTTTGCTTATCAGAAGATTGCAAAAGGTGATTGCATGGCCTTGGGATACAGCAATGGTCATAAATATGAACCAGCTGCTAAACTTCTGAATTTTGATCATACATGATCATGGGGATGCTGGAAAGGTCGTAAGTATGAAAAGTGGTCAAAAGTCACTTTTTTCAGTGCCGTTGTAAGGGCGAATGGTCACTAAGCGAAATGTTGTAAGTTGAGGACTATCTGTACTAAACTTCCTTTCAAAGCTAGTTTAGAAAATACTCTCCTTCTGTCTCTTGAAAGTGAAGTGGCCACATTCCTTCATTTGGAATGTCTTCCAACAGTTCCCAAAGCTTGGATAAATTGTTTCTGTCTGTCCACCTAAGAGCTGACTAACAGAATAAAAGAGTTGGAAGGGACCTTGAAGGTTTCCTAGTCCAACCTCCTGCTCAAACAAGAAACCCATACCATTTCAGAGAAATTGGTGTCCAATCTCTCTCTCTCTTTTTTTTAATTTGATTTATATGCCGCCCTTCTCCGGAGACTCAGGGCGGCTTACAATGCGTTAAGCAATAGCCTTCATTCTTTTGTATATTTTATACAAAGTCAGCTTATTGCCCCCACAAACTGGGTCCTCTTCTTGAAAAACCTCCAATGATGGAGCACCCACAACTTCTGGAGGCAAACTGTTCCACCAGTTAATTGTTCTCATTGTCAGGAAATTTCTCCTTAATTCCAGATTTCCTCTCTCCCGATCAGCCTCCATCCATTGTTTTTCTATCCTGCACTCAGGCGCCCTGGCGAATAGGTGGATCCCCTCCTCTTTGTGGCAGCCCCCCAACTATTAGAATACTGTGCTGGAAGACTCTTAAGTGAGTGTAAAGCTTTTTCCCATTACTGGAATGGCTCAGGTGAAGTTCTTTGTCATGAAACACTCTGCACATCATGTGTCATCAAATGCCTTGTTGAAGGAATGTGAAGCCACCCTAGCACAGACCTACTGTGTTCAGTTGGTTAGCCGTTAAAAGGTTCCCCTCACACATATGTGCTAGTCGTTCCCGACTCTAGGGGGTGGTGCTTATCTCCGTTTCAAAACTGAAGAGCCACCACTGTCCGAAGACATCTCTGTGGTCCTGTGGCCAGCATGACTAAATGCCAAAGGCACACGGAACGCTGTTACCTTCCCACCAAAGGTGGTCCCTATTTTTCTACTTGCATTTTTTATGTGCTTTCGAACTGCTAGGTTGGCAGAAGCTGGGACAAGTAACAGGAGCTCACCCCATTATGTGGCACTAGAGACTGGAACCGCTGAACTTGCTGACCTTTCAATCAACAAGCTCAGTTTCTTAGCCACTGAGCCACCACGTCCCTTTTTAGCCTCCCCTTTTTAGTCCCTTTTTAGCCATTAAGCTATCACTAATTGTTCTAGTTTGAGCCCCCAGGATAGGGCAAAAAGACCACACTATGAAGCAGAGTGTAAAAACCAAGTTTTCAAAATTGAATTTCCTTCCTTCCACTTAGATGTCATTTTGTTCTTCTGGAAGTACCAGCTGGCCACAATCGTAAATATATTTTGCCCCGGGAGGAGGAGCTGACCTGCTTTTTCTCTTCCTAATCCTGCCCCTTCTTGCATTACTAACTAGATTCTCCTACTTTGTTCTCCCCTCCCTGGGGCTACGTTAAAGATACAGAGCTTAAGCTTGACTCTGATGCATCTCCCATCCGATTAACGGAGATCAAGCGAGCATCTCCTACACGCATTCGCCTGTCCGTCTCCCGAGTACACTCCTCCCTACCAGGTAATTCATACACACACACACACACAAATGCTGGAGAGGAAAAGCGAGGATCGGGTTAAGCATTAGCTATGTAGGCGTTAATCCGCAATAATGAGCACAAGGAAAAGTTCGTGTGTACCAATCGGAAGTTCTGTGTTGCTACCAACAACATATCACACACACACACACACACGAGTGCATGTTGGCAGCAGGTAAAGTTTACTGTTTGGAGGCAAATTCCTTTTTCGGCATCCCAGTTCAGACACCTGGCTAAGCGCACAGGTGACCCGTGTGGCTCCTTCAGCCAGGAGACGGCGAGACTCGGTTGTTGCACACCTGGGCTGCTCCCGGCAACCAGACTACCTCACGAGCCGGCTTAGCCTGAGCGGGGGAAAGGAAAAGGTTCTCCCGCGCTCAGAGTGCGGGAGCGGCGCAGGTCAGCCCGCGCTTTCCCTCGGTCAAACCGGAGCGCCGAAAACTTTCGGAACCGCTTCGGTCTCCCTGCTCTTTCTCGCCGCTCCTTTTGAATGACGCCTCCCATCGCCCGCCGCCACCGAGGAGGGACCGGCTGGCCCCGCCCCTCGGAAAGAGAGAGACTCCCACCAAGGCCACCTCTGCCTCTCCCACCGAGGAGCAGGCGACCGCCACATCTGGCCAGGCTGAGGTGAGAGAGGAGCCAGGGCGGCCGGCGTGGCAGGACTTTCAAAAGGAAGTCCGGAACAAGCGCTCCGGTTCGTCGCCTCTGGCCGAATCTAACGGGGCCGTTTCGGCCCCCTGTCGCGCCACGCGCGCCTTTTTCTTGCTTTTTTTTTTTTCTTCTTCTTCTTTCCTTCCCCTTCCTTCGCTTCCCGCCTGAGCAATTCCGAGGATGAGGAGGGGGAAGGGAGGAAGAGAGAGAAGCGCTGCGGGTCTGGCTGCCTCGCAGCCGTCGCTTGCGTGAAGCCGAGGCGGGCGGAGGAGCCTTCGAAGAGCCCCCTCCCCCAAAGGGCAGAAGCAGCGGAGGTCTCCCGCCAGGTAAAAATGCCAGGTGAGACGAATGGGGGGAGGGGGGCGCAGACGAAGGACGCCTCTCTCTCTTCGGTCCTCTGTCTTTCTGGCTACTCCCGTGCGTGGCTGAGGAAATAAATGCCCAAGCCTCGGGAAAGAGAAGTAAAGCAGGCGCCGCCGCGGCGTCCTAGGGATTCCCGCGGCGTGGAGGAATTAAACTCTTTGTTCTTCCACAGGGATCCGTGTCTGGGGAAGAGCCGAAAGGTTCGCGGAAGAGGGATGGGCGGGGCTTGAAGGATCGAAGGCTGCGTTTCCCAAAATAAAATAGGGCGCTCCCGCCTTTTCGGGGGGAGCCGCTTGGTCTCCTTTCGGGTCCGCCCGTCTTCTGCAGCTGCTACACCCTCTTTTGTTTGACTGGCAACGTTCGCGAATTCTTCCCTTCACGGTCCATTCTTAGCCAAGCCGCTTAAAAGGCACGGAAATGAGAAGAGGCGCTGGGATGGCTCCTTATGGGTAGTTTCAACATTTCTCTCTCTCTCTCTCTCTCTCTCTCTGGGCGTTTAAAAAGGCTTTTTTTGCTCTTTGCGTTTAGCTTTGACGCTGGGGTGATTTGTGCGCATATGCACACAACCAACAGTTTGTTCGGCTCCGGCTTTCTTAACAGCCAGAGACGATCGGAGTAAGAACGCCGTTGTATTTGGTTGCCAGAGGTGGTGTTTGGCGTTTCAGTTCGTCCTAAATGGCACTAGGGGTTGTGGTCTCAACGGATTTTTACAACCAGCCCAGATTGTTCATGCTGCTAAGAGTTGACCTGCTAAGAGTTTAAATGGACCGTAAATTTGAGCACAGTTGTTCTGTAGGAGTAAAGGTGAGCATATAAAACAAGTTTCTTAAGTGTAGTATATGGGGGAGGTGACAGAATTTTCTGATTTGTGTGAAGTTGTAGAAACAGTTGTCTAAAATATAGTACCTCCTACATATGTTAATCTGAACTTCTGTCATCCACCAAGACAGGTAGTCCTTGACTTATGACCATTCGTTCAGCAACTATTCAGAGTTACGATGAGTGCTGACACAAGTGACTTATGACCGCTCCTCACACTTAAAGCTATCTCAGGATCCCTGCAAATCACATGATCCAAATTTGGGTACTTGGCATCCAGTATTTATAATGGTCCTCGGGCCATGTGATTGTCATCCGTAACCTTCTCAGTGAGCTTCAGATAAGGAAAGACAATGGGAGAAGCTGGATTCACTTAACAACCATGCGATTCGCTTAATAGTTATGGCAGAAAAGTCATAAAATTGGTCACGGCCATGTGATGACTCATTTAAAAATTAAATTGCTTAGAGCCAGAAGTTTCAGTCCCAATTGTGGTTGTAAGTCAAGGAGCACCTCTATGGCTAAAGATGATGGAAGTTGTATCCAATGTTTCCAAAGGGGTCGATACTCAGTTGGAGAAGATAAGAGACATATGTCTTTGCAAATTGAAGTCCCTGGAAAACTAAATATGAAACCTTGGATGGTAAAATTCTGAATAAATTGAAGACTTCAGACATTCTGTGCCTAATTAGGGAAACGTCAGGATCTTATCCTTACTATTTAGTGCTAGTCTGTAGTACTAGTTTTTTTAAAAAAAATTCTCAACTCAAATATAGTACTGAAGACATGTGTTTTAGTCATAATAGCTTGAGTGTTGCACAGTTTTTTTCCCCTGTTAAATCCTGTCCAATTCTTTAAGATTGCCTAAACAAGTTCCTGCAGTTTTTTTGGCAAGGTTTTTCAGAAGTGGTTTTCCATTGCCTCCTTAGGGCTATGGAAATCACAATTATTTTACTATTTATGGCCATAGCCAATGTTGTAGAATTCCGTTCTGTATAAAACAAAGGAAAAAAACTTCAAGTAGCTTGGAATTTTCTTGAAGCTTCTTAAAATTTTATTACTTGATATGTTATTTTGTACATTGAAACTGGAACATGCTCTCATATTCCAGCTTTGGCAGACAACATGTAAAATGTATTGAATAATAGAAGTGTTTCCACTTTGATAATTGAAGAAGCTCTACTTAAAAAAAGGGAGAGAAAAGCTACATTGTAATTAAATAGAAGCATGAATAGTTGAATAATTTCACAATACTTCTTTATTTTATTCCTAAATAGAAGCATTTTAATGTCTATATTGCCACTCTTTTCCAGCAAAATACCTGTAAAAGTATAATTAAGAGGCAATTTGGGTAATTTAATGCACAAATAACAATTAGTTTTTTGTTCTGAATAAAAAGCAGTGTTCATATAGAAGAAAATAAAATGTAGATATGCAGCAATTTGGAGAAGAAATCATTACATTTTGGTATCTGACACTGAAATATATATTACTTGTTGCTCATGGTTGGATTATTTGTGCAATCCTGATGGAAAAATATGATAAAATTAGCATTAATTGACTTACGCTTTCAGTTATGGAAAGTGTGGGTCACGTAAACAGTTCATCATTTCCATAAACAGGTTTTTGACTTCTGGAGTGTATCAGAAATAAGAATGCAGTTTTAAATCTTAAAAAGTCAGTTTAAATTACATGGATAAGAACATCCTTGCATATTGCTGATTCACATCAACAGTTCCCCTATGTGAGCCTTTTCTTTGTATGTGCAATTCTATTTTTCACTCTTTATTAGTCTATTTGTTCTGATGTCCACTAGCTCTACTGGACCATGCAGAAGACAGTGGTTTATCTATAGATTTTAAAACTGAGATGTCTATATAATTCTACTCACTGCCTCACTGATGTATTCTCTTTTGTCATCTTGTCACTTTTTCTCTTTGTATGAACTAAGCCGAGAGAGCTGACATTAGGAATTGGATACTTCATGAGTGACTTTTTCTGATGTGGATATGAATCTCTTGTTGGAAAAATGTTGGACTCTGTAAGTATGAACAGTACCTTGCATTGATATGCATATTAATCTATGATTCTTGTTACGTGTGCATTGGAAGAGAAAAAAGGATATTCTTATGAAAGAACTTTTTCCATTATAGATATGGATTGACACATAGAAGAATACAAGATCAGTTAGTAGTATATATGTATTGCATGTTTCAATGTGAAACCATCAGGAATTAAAATAAGACTCTGCATGCAACATAAAAATCAGTAAATTAGTACTATCTTTTTTTCTGCATATGGCTGAATGTCATGTCTACTTTGGCAAAAGTGTCTCATCCTCCTTATCTTAAATTCTTGATAGAAGTAAATACATATACAAGAACATAATTCAGTGTGAGGAGTTTTATGAAGACAACCTTAAAAATTTGTCTGTAACCAGGATTGTTAAGCCAATGAAGGTTATGATGACAATATACATGCTTATTATTATCAACAACATTGCAATAATAATTTATTAAATTTATGATGCTGACTCCCAGCATCTCCATCTGAATTTGGTTTAGCATGTTACCTTGACTTTTGATGATGCTATAATTTTGTATCCTGAAATGTGGAAGCACAGCATGTTTTTAGACTATGTCACGTCACAATGTTACCTTATAGCCTTTAACCCATTGAATGAACACTAATATACATATTAATCCCAGGATAATATTGCAGGATTCAATCTGAGTTGATCACTGGAACCAGAGGTTTAGTCTTCTGAGTTTTTGAACTTGTACTGGAGCCCATCCTCAGATAACTTGTCTCCCTATAGCATGAGTCTGAAAACTTGGAAGACTAAACCTCTGGTCCCAGTTACCAACTCAGATTGGTTCCTTTAACCTGTCTTTAGATTGTCGGATATGGTCTAAGACATTGTGTAACTGCTCTGTCATTTGAATTAAGTAACTGATGTGCTCGGTATTTTCCTCTAGAATTTTTCATCAGGAAACACTCTAATACATAGAATTATAAGTAGCAATTTCGAGTATATTATAAAATTACTGGTTTTTAATTTAAAATACTTTTAAATGACAGACTAAAGGAAACAAAATCTGATCCAAAATTTTTCTGGAACAAAATGCATTTAATAAACAGTATGATAGAGTTGTACAGTTTCCACAGTATTACTGTGGAAAACTAAGTTCTTGTCTACCTTAAAATATGGAAACCTACTGGAAGATTCTGGACCAATCACTCTTGTCTGTCTTGGCCCAATGTAATTCACAGAGCTCTTATCTCATGAATACATTTATAACACTTAATTTCTTGTATATAAATAATGTGCAATGTTACATTTTGTAGATTAGGATGCACTAAGTTGTGTGGTGTAGTAAGGCACGGAGCAGAAGGAAGTTTTATTGTATTAACCAGCACATTTTGAAAATGTGGTTTCTTTTTCAAAGCGTTGTAGTTAAAAGATACAAAAAGAAATATGAAATATATACTTATGAAGACAAAATGTTCAACTTCTATTAATTCAAAAGTATCTCTTATCATAGAATAAAAAATGACTCATGCTATTTACAGAACAGGTTTTGTACTTCTTTTTGTATTATTTAACTACAGGGTCTTTAAAAGGGACCCACTAGTCCAAATAACTTATATAATACAATACAGCTTTGTCAGGTAGTTGTTTTTGTATGTGATTCTAATTCATCAGTGTTTTAATATTGCCATGATATGTAGCAAGCATAATAATTAAGGTTTATATCATTTCTTGTGTAAAAGGAAAGATGTACTTCAGCTTTTACATAAAGAGTGAATCATATAATTGTGATGGAAAGACACCTTAATTGTAGAACCATTCCCAAGTGCCGCTTCACAATCAATGTCAGAAGTCTTTTTTCTCCATAAAAACCTGGAAATAATTGACGAAAAGACATCATTATAATTTTCTGAAAAATGGTCAAGGTCTCATAAGAAACCGTTGCAAAGCATATGTTGCATTATTCAAAAGATAGCTGAGTGAATATTCTGTTAATACTCAAAAGTTTTGAAAGTTTTGCTTTTATTTCATAGTTAAAATGTATGCAGAAGAGATGGGAACTTGAGCACATTCCTTTAACAATGTTCTGTTTTGTACCACAATTAACTTTAACAATTAATATCATATGATGAGGAGTATGATAATTTTTCAATATGTTTCCTACAATCAAAACTTTTTAATTAAATTTGTGGCAACTTTTGAAGAATTAATTAAGAAATTATCTGAGTAAGGAAATAAAAACTGACAGACAATTAATCTTTGCATTAGTTAATCAGTTCCTAAAAAGGATGGTGACCCCACCATGCTTGGTGAAGAAATCCACGTTAAATAATATAACTCCCCTTGAATCCCATTACTAATTATATGGTTGGATTGTTGCATAAGAGGTACAATCTTTACACGGGAGCAATTCATGGGAGCAACTCCCACAGTAATCAATGGAATAGTTAGAGACAAGCATAATATTAATAGAGAACCTTATCATAAGCATCTTACCATAAGAACCTTATCATAAGCAACAGCCATGTTCTAATATCATTAGAATAACATAATTATGTTGCAATGTGAACATCATATACAGTAGCCAAGTGTTTCAATGACTCCTTCTCCTTAGCTTTTGTTAACTTCTTGTTTAAGTGAAGTGCTATGGGCAACTTTATCTTTTCAAATCATGGATACACCAAGAATTTTAGGTTCTAATATAAACCCAAAAATTTGGGTTCAGCTTATCTGCAGATGGGCTGAATCGTGAATCTGTTATACATTTCTAAAGTATATGCTTGCCAGTAAGCCAACCCTCAAATTTTTAACCAAAATACCATTAAAATGTGCCTCCTGTAGATAAGTCAATTGTTCAAATTTAAATCAGAATCTGTTCTGGAAAACAACATGTATTGATACAAAATAAGGGAAAAAAAAGTCCTTCAGAATATATTGAAGAAACATAAGAAAATTTTGAGGGTCGGGCTTATTAGTTGGTATATTTTTCATGGTGTGTTGGTTAAAAATGTGAGGGTTAGCTTATCTGTGGATGCGCTTATCCATGACTACATGCGGTAGTTTTTGATGTCATCTGGCTGTAAAGACTCAGAGTAAGATTAATTGATTCATTATGTAACATCAAGTTGATGTTGGCTCTTCAAGACAAATAGAAGGATGATCTAGTGCTGACCTTGTCCTTCAAGACTCCCAACACTGCTGTAATTAAGTCCATCCACCTTGCATTACCAGATAGTCTTTGATTTACAACTACAATTGGACCAGAATCTTGGTCATTGAGTAAAGCTTTAGTTAAGTGAGAAATCATGTGACTGCTTCGCTCAATGACTACAATCCTAGCACTCCCAGTTGTGGTCATTAAACTGATATCCCCAGGTAAGGAGCATGGGGTGCATTTGGAGAGATGAGGGAAATCCTAGAGAGTGGAGATCACACACAAGTGTCTCTTCACTCACTGATATCCCAAGCAGGATATTCAGTTCTCCTTTGCATCATTTTTGGACCCAACATCTCTGGCGGACGTTTCTGAGACATGTGGCTAAAAAAGCTGCCTTAGACACATGTAAATTCACCACAGAAACTGTCCAAAAAAGTGGCAGAGGGAGTGCAAAGGCAGCAAAATGGAGGCAGTCTCGTGCGGGTCTAGGAGAACTTGGCGCAGCCAAATCACCACTTTCTGTGGCCAGCTTGCCATGGCCAACTCTCTATAGAAAACTCACTGCAGGATAAGTTATACTAATATCAAAGAAATGGTGGAATAGAATCATTAAAGAAAACATTTCAAAAAGAAGGACATAATGAGATCTGAATGACAAAAATTAAAATATTTTAAAAATTATTTTAAATACTTAAATTGAATTGTTGAATTTTCCCATGGTGAGTTGGCCATGGCAAGTTGGCTGCACCAAGTTGGAGCAGAGCAAAGGCCTCTCTAGGGCAGCATTCTGACTTCCACAGGGGCAGCTTAAAAATTCCATTGCTGAAGTCCAAGCAGAAAGCGTTAACAACATTTCAATCTAGCCATATCATAAGCACTCTGAAAGTTGCTCAGCTCTTCCCCAATAGCATGTTATTAAATTCCATCTAATCTGAGGGGTCCATCCTCTACCATTATATTGCCAATTACTTTATATTGTCTATCCATGGAAATATTTTGAGTAGCTGGCAAGGAAGATTGTAAATGATCATGGGACACTTGGTAACCGATCATAAGAGCGAACAGTTTGCCAAACATCCAGATCACAATAATCTAACTGTGAAAGGTGGTGCAATGTTTTGTGATGGTCAGATGTCCTTTAGAGGCCATAAAACACGCTTTCCAAAGCCACTGTTAATTTGAGCTGTAGTTAAGTATAAATAAGTCAAGGACTAACTATAGTTGTTTTCTTTTTCTCTTTCCTTACTTCTTTCCTAGCTCTACACTTCTCAAAAGATTTAGGTCTTCACTTAATGTTCTGTTAGTTTCAGAGTGAATTTTATTGTAAAGCTCAACAACTTATTCTGCATCAGTAGTTGGAACATAAATTTGGGTAGCCATTAGATTAAAGGATTGTCTGAAAAGTCAGTTGTTATACATTGATATTATTCAGTCATTGATTGCATTGTACCCAAGTACTATTTTTGGTATATCCTGTCTGACAATGAAAGCAACATCATTTTTTGCTTTGTTTTGGGTTCTTGAATAGCAGAATAGCAATGTCCAATTCCAGTCAATTTTAACTTGCAGATATCCATATGTAGCTGATTAACTTTATCTTTTGCCGAGTTGAGTTTTTCTTTATTTATACTGTTGTCATTAAAATGAACATCCACCTCCAGAATTGCTTCTGCCCAATATAAGTGCCGATTTGCTTTAACTGGAAAGATGAAACCTACAGGGAGTGTTTTATTTTTTATTATTTTCTTTTATGTATATGATCATCCATCTCAAATTCATGAGACTAGACAGCTAACAAAAACACAAGAAAGAGACATGTAACAGTAAAAATATACACACATATAATCAGGGT